TTGCATTTCATTTCCTAGTTTAGAAGAATAGCATCAGCTCCTTCCCCTGCGTGTACAGGAATATAGTGCCAGCAGACTGGGGCCACAGGCAGAGGGCAGAGAGGACCCAACAACTGTGCTCTTCTGCTAAAATGCCAAGCCCAGAACCTCCCACTTGGAGGAGCTACAATCAAAACAAACAGGGAGAGAAAGGTGGGTTCTTTCTTTTGGAAAATGACTTCTCTTTCACTTGGCAATTTACAGGAACTTTCTACTTAGAAACTGCAGGAACCAACAGCAGAAAGAAGGGAAAATGCTGAATACGGAGTAAAGAACAAGATGTCTGTATTTGGAAGTAGGTGGAGGGTCGGGGAGGAAAGTATCAATACAGTCTGGTTTGTAGGGATCTTAACCAATTCCCTGTGAACTTTTCTAAAATGTCTTTCTCCCAAAAGACTAATAATAATATACCAGCCCTAGGTTATACTAAAATCCCTCAAATGCCTCTCTTCTGTATTATTCCTTCTCCATTATGACCATCAACCCTCTCTCCATCCCACCCTCCAAAAATAACTAGCATCTGGACAATTTTCTATAAAACTCTCTTACTCACAGTTATAACTCAAAATGCAGATGGAATCTCTACAAGGTTTTCTAAAGGATAAAGGGAGGGGCAAGCCCCTGTGGACAAAGAACAAACACTAGAAAATCTCAACCCCAAAGGTCATTTTTCTCCAGTTATAGGCACCTGAATACAGATGAGAGGGGAAACAATCAGCAAAGTTGCTGCAGAGCAGTGGGAAAAAGACTACCCAGGAGACTGATGGATGGCCCAAGAAAACCCAAGGAGGGAGGGAAACGGCAGGCGGGCCATCAGATCCCCAGATGAGGAGAGCTGGGCTGCCCCCTCCTTGGCACCCTCAGACAGCTAAGGTTAAGTCCTCTTCCTCACGTGCTGTGGCCTTTACCTCATTTTCCTCACTTAGATTTGCTTTGGTCTCTTCTGAACACTGAGGTGGAGAAAGAACTTGGCCCAAGGTTAAAGATGCTCAATTAAAGATCTCACCAAAGCTTTCAGGCTGCTCCCTAGGCCTCAAGGTCACAACCACCATCAAAATACATATCCACACCAAAATGAGCAACTTGCATTCCTGCCAGTGAAGACAGAGAAATCACCTTCTCCTGGACCAGATAAAATCTACTTCTATCTCAATAATTCCTAAAACAAGAAAGGAATCCCATTCCTCAAATCTAGAGCCCCTAAAACATTAAACCACCTAAATTAACAGTTAAGTGAAAAAATGTTTTCAAATGAAAAGTCTCATATTTAACCAATACCGTTCATGTTAATCTGAATTGAAACATGTAATACAAATAAAATGAGTGCAAAAAAACCAGAGTGTGAAAGACTATTACAGGCAAACTAACCACTCTAGTTTCACCTAGCTGAACAAAGTACAAAAATAAACAGAAAAATGATGCCAAATAGAAAATACCAGATGTTTTACCATGTTAATAACCAATATTATTAACTCACCCAAGTACAACAGAGCTACACCTGTTAGTTTTTCATGATGGCATTCCATTAGGATAGTCTCAGTAAGCTGACTCAGGGACTTCTGAAAACCAGACACAGATGAGAGAAATGAGCCCCAGGCCAAGCCACTACATAGGCCTTCGATTGAAACATTTTTCTGTCACTACATACCTATAAGCACTTTACAGAGGCCTCTGAATCCTAAAAGTTTCTAAGAGTCAAAAAGGATGGGAGCTGGGACAATCCTAATTCACAATTCTAAGTCTATTCCCAGGAGGTATGAAAGTCTTAATCAGAAAGAAGTTACCAAACAAGTAGCTACCAAACCACTCTGAGAACAGTAGGGAAGGTTAATTTTTCTTATAGCTCATATTCTAGCCCTTTTACTATCTTCTTCAGAAGTGCATGCTCAAAAGAAAAAAATTTTAAATTTTTTTTTAAAAAAGTGCACTGTATGCTCACCCTAAATATCAATCTTTCCTTAGTAAAATGGTTAGTCTGAATTTATTTATTTAGACTAAAAAAACCCTGATTCTTTTTATCTATAAGTCCTATTTTTTGTGTCTCAAAAAGTTTTTGTTGCTCCTACTCTAAACCTTTATAAATCATTCCTTTTTTCTTTTTTCCCTCTTGACTAAGAGACCTAAACAAACACAGAAGCTCTAATGAGGATTTGACCTGAGATGGCCTCAGTGGAAAGACTGTTCTGTCTTCAACTGTTGACTTCTCTAATGCATCTTTCAAGTTTTCTCTGAATTTTACCAGAGTCCAGCTCTCTATAAACTTTAAAGCAAGAAGGGGGCTGGGAACAAGGCGGGGGGAGAAGGAAGCTTTAAATTATCACTCACAAGTCTCAAGTTACTCCTGATCTGCCAATCCCCTTCCTGAGGGTAGTTCAATGAGAGGTCCAACATTGATGTCTAGCCCCAAACTCACCTTCCTACCTGTTGATCACAGCATTATGGAGGCTTAATTAAGTCAAGATGCATTACATTTATCATTCAGCCTACATCCATTCAAATCCATCACTATGTCACAATAAGAAGTTAGATTGATCTGACAGGATTTGCTCTTCTTCACAAACCCATGTAAGTTACTACTCAGTACCCTATGCTCTTCCAGCTGTTTGTTGATTGATTATCTGACGATCAGGTCAAGTATCTTCCCCGGAATCACAGTAAACTAAAGGGTCTATAATTTCCAAGATCATTCGTATTCCTCTTTTAAAGATAAGCAAGACAGCAAATGCTTCTTTCCTCTAAAGCAACAGCTAATGCTTTACTAATAATGAACCAGGGCAGCCAATTCCTTAAGTGCCCTTGGAATCACATCATCAGGGTTCATTGATTGTGGAGATAATCTTTAATCAGGCCCAGATCCTGGTAGACAGCATGAAGCCCGACTGCAGCCTGGGTCTAGGGGGCTATGCTACCTAAATCTGGGAAGGAAGTTGATGATGCAAGTGATTTAAATCTATATTGCATTATGTCTTAAGCACTGCAAAACAAACAAAAACATAGATGTCCTTGAAGGAGAGATGCAAGGTGACATTAACAGACAGATCAAACTGAGACATGAATCAAGATGAAGCCTCAGGAACAACAGCAAAACCTTCTTCAGGACAGGAGAACAGATTTACAGAATTATCTGAGCTTATAATCTAGCAGGAAAAGGTAAGAAAATAAACATAAGCATGTGGCATGAGCCTGGAAGTAGTAAATGACATAAGAGAGGTGCTAAGCAATCATGAGTGTTCAAAAGAGCAATCAATCACACACAACAGGGATGTGTTGGGTTTAGATTCAGGTCCCACTAGGCTTACTCAGTGACTGAAATCTATCAGTAGGCAAATAATAACACTCTGATTCCCATTCTGAAGAATCTAAATAACCAAAGTTCCCAAGCCACCACTGCGGTATACTCCCCATGCCAGGGAAAATTCCAGTAGTTTAGGAATACAAGGAGAACTGCAGGAAAGGAAAGATTAAGAGGTAGAGAAAGTAAGTATGTCTATGGTAGCTCACAAGCAGTATTCCTCTTTATCTAAAAGTTCTTTCCTTAGAACTTTCTTCTATCTGGCTCCTATCTTCCTGAGCCTTGGTAGGCCTTATTCCAATGCCTAATAGCAGATCACTGCTTCTTAGTCTGAAGGAGGGTAGAAGGGGTAAGGTTAAGAGGGTTGTGGTATCTACTTTGTATAAAATAAACTATCGCTCTAAAGAAAGGCTCTTCCTAGAAAAACAACCCAACCATTAGAAATAAGTCCAGTTTACCTCTGAATGTACTAGACCCCTTCTTGCCTTTCAGTACTTAATGCAGATGCCCTGTTCATCTCTTTCTGCTTACCGTCAACTGAAAGCCACTTCCAGAGTCACAAATCTATGCATCCCAAACCCTGTTAACTTGGGCCCACATAGAAGTTACAGACCTAGAGTTGGGCATTAGGACCGTACTACAATGAGCTATCAGCTCCCAAACATTCCCCTAAAGCAAACTCCAAGTACTCTCAAATCATCTAGCACAGTGGCCTATGTGTCTCACTGTTGCGAGTCCAGGCTTCCCAGGGGCACTACCTTAAAAGGTAAAAGGTTTCTGAACAGTTGGTGACTAAGGGAATAAAAAGGGGTGGGCAAGCAAAGAAATGTCCCTTTCCAATGGACAAAAAATGGTGCTTGTTCAGGTTATCTAATGCTGTATAATAAATTATCCTAAAACAGAGTGGCTTAAAGTATAATTCATTATCACTGGTCCTGTGACCAGGAGTAGCTGGACTAGCTAATTCTGGCTCAAGGTCTTATCTAAGATTGAAATCAGATGTCCACTGATTATCTCAAGGCTTGACTTGGGCTGGAGGACTTACTTCTAAATAGCTCATTCTCATAGCTGGAAGATGGTACTGACTTTGAGTCAGAAGGCACAGATCCTATATACGTATGTCTCTCCATCAGCTGCTTAAGTGTCCTCAGAGCATGACAGGTGACTTCCCCAGAGCAATTAATCCATAAGAGCAAGGTGGACTGTAATGCCTTTTATGACTTAGCCTCACATCACACACACTATCTCTTCCACTATATTCTACTGGTTATACCAAGTAAGAGGGGACCAAATGGGCATACATATCAGGAGGCCGAGATCACTGAGCATCATCTCGGAGCTTCAGAGTGTGAACTCAGTTTTTAAAAGCCGCAGCAGAACCAAAGAAAGGAGGAAGGTGGGGGGAAGGTAGAAAGGACTGGAGAGGAAAAAAAGTGACAGCAAAAGTGAGACCAGAGATAAAAGCATGACAAATTCACCCAAGAGACCACTTTTCAGGTCTACTATATCCTAGAATGCCTGAATCAAGTCCTGCTTCCTAGGCAGGACCTCCAGATGAGTAAGTAGTCAGAATGACATAGGAAAGCTCCTCTGGATTCCAGAAAGCAAGATTATCATCCCTCCCTCCTTGCCCACCCCACCTTTTCTCAATCAGTGATGTAGCAGTTACCTGAGGATGGATCTGTGGCTTGTCGCACGTGGCCTCAAAGTCCAGCACTAAAAAGTAGTGATACCTCTGGGGAGGGAAGGACACCATTGCCGCCATGGATGCGCCAAAGCCGTGGGCCGCCAGCTTTCTGGTGGATATGGAGCAGAACTCCGGAACACCACAGGGAGAAAATAAGTGGGAGCCCAGCACTTTTCTTGCTCTTGAAAGTAAATATGAAGAAAATCGAGCTGCTCCAGTCTGTAAAGGTGCTAGCATTGAACATCCAGAAGCATCTAAAACTTAGGGGAGGAAAGTTAAAAAAGAAACAAAAACAAAAACAGAGAGCCTGGGTTACTCCCCTCCCACTGTGGCCCTGTTCCACCCAGTCTTCAGGAATAATCATGAAACATGAACCACTGCCCAATTTCTGGACCATTTTTCTAAATCACAGTATTCATTACTTAAGTTCAAGACCCTAATACTGGCACCTGCAGTATTATTGCAGCTCTGAGTCTCCCCAGATCATTCTCAAAACAACATGCAACTGGCCTTCATCTTTAAGTAGAGCTTTAAAGTTCAAAGGAGAGAAGAGAAATTCTGTGGTCACTTCTCAGGTGGTAACAGTTAAGGTTTCTAAAGTCACATGAGGTGACCCAGTCAGACAATCAACCTAAGGGGATGACTCAGTTTAACAGTAGAAAATGCTCCTGGCTCCATTACGAGCCATTTGTCTCATGCTTTCCTGTGTTCCCCTTGTGGCCTTAGTCCAGAGGGACTTCCACTGCTAACCCAAAGGCCAAACCACTCAGGTAGTACAAGTCCACCAACGGCATCACAGAAGATAGCTAGACAATTTCTGCCCTTGAGATTTACAGCCTCCAAAACCCAGTGGAGGTCAGCTATGAATCACTTTTTACTTGATGGCAATGAGCTTGTATCTTCCTAACTGTACTTTAATATGGCCACACACCCACCTCGCGCAGCATGGAACCGAACAAAGCCCACCACAGAGGAGTTGGTTCATGAGATCCTGGTGATTCCCTAATCCCATGCTAGCGAGTAGCAGCCAGAGGGAACGAACAATGCCTGAGAGTACAGCTGGCAACAGCCTTAGGCCTTCTCATTTGCTGCCTGTACACTCACTCTCTACTAGGAACCCTGGATGATTGCAGTGCTTTTTTAAATAGGGACAAAAAGAGAAAACCCAGATGTTCCAGTAATGGGAGCATTGCTAACAGTCTAGTAAAGTGTTCTGAGTGAACATGTGCAAAAAAAAAATCACTTTTCCTTTAAGAGTTTTCCCTTTAAATGTGTATAATGTCTGTTTCTCAGAGGGCTAACGAAATAATAAAATCAAAGTCTAAAGTTTTACTCACAAATAACTCAAGCTTCCTAAAAAAATATACAGGAACAAAGCAGAAACTTTGTATTTCTCCTTTTTTATAATAATGCTCAAATTTCCCTAGGCTTTAATCCTCAAAGGCAAACAAGAAATCTCAGTGCTCAAAACAGAAATCACCATCACTGATGCCTTCCAAAGCCCCATTATAATACAGCCCAAAGCTTGCCTCTGAATGTCTGGTATGGACATCCAGCTCCTTCCCTGTGAGGGCCACAGCAGACTCCAAGGCCATGAGGACACTACTGTCTGAGCAAGACCAAATAATGTTTTTCTTCCAGTTTTTTCTGGATTTACTGAATAAACAGTAATAACTGAGGAGATATGCTAGTGTGGGGGCCTCAATTTCCCTATTCCTAATAGGGCAAGTTAATGGTGATTCAGTGATATTTTTTCATGGGTCCTACATAGTATAACAACTGTTTTCAACACTGCCTCTGTTACCCTCCAAATATGCATCTAAAATTCTTCAATCAGGGTAGGCAAAAGGCTGCACTGAGTTTCACAATTTCCTATGGAATTCTTTGGAAAGATAAAGTGCCAATACCATTCCGAAACCCTAAATCCAAAATAACTCTCCTATCAACCTCTTCTGAACAGTACTGGAAGCCTTGCTAAGAAGGAGATAATGGTTCATGTGGATTTTCCATTCTAGTAAAGTCTTTGTTGTTGTGTACTGTAAAGTTGGAAGCAACCCAAAGCCTGAACCTTCAGCAAGTTTTCAGAGGCACTTAATCACATGGGAGGAGACTGCCCATCCTCTCATGGAACAGCTAGTAGATTTGAACTGCACACCTTCAGGATTAAAGGACAGCTTCTTGCCACTAGGCCATATTAGTAAACAGAGCTCTTATTAGTAACATCCTTCAGAGGCTTAAAATTCTTCTTTAACTTCTTGCAGTCAGGCCACACATAAAAGTTTTCAAAGGTTTCAATATGTTCTCCTATGTATGTATATAATATAATCAATCCAAGGCAATTAAGCATTATCAATAAGGAGGGCTTCCAGGTTTGAATCTTGGCTTTGCCAATTTTTAGCCATCGCACTTGGTGCAAGTTCTGTTCCTTAGTTCTTCATCTGTAAAATGATAATGATAGTACTCACTCCCTAAGAATAAAATGAGATGACACCTGTACAATTTGACAGCGGGGTATGGCACTGTTCACAAAGTACTAGGTTACTATCAGAGGCTAAGCCCAATTAGTCAAGCCTGGATCCCCATACGCCAGGCCTACAAATCCAATTAATTCATAAGGCAGCCTCAGAGACCACTCTGGATCTGGATCTCCTACTCTGTATACTATTTATATCCTATCCTCTCCCATGGACACCATCTTCATGACTAGAGGTCCTCTTGCTTGCAGATCAGTTTTTTTAACTGATTTCACATGCATCAAAAAGTCTCTCCTGTAGAAAATCTTGAGAGTAGACATTAAGAGGCAAGGCCTTCACTTGTCAGTAACTGGGTCCTGCACTTATCTTACATGGGCTCCTTTTACTCTCTTCATGGATAATATTCTTGCTGTCATTCCACAACTCATCAGGTCTTCAATCACTGGTGTTCAATGTTTTAATTTATTCTTAAAATGATTTTGAAATCCAGGTGGGAAAGATTAAGGATACTTTGGTTCTCGTGCACTTATTTTCATTTTCTTTGGCCTCAATTTGAACTTGCATATGTGTAATGGCTGATCTGAACCACAGTCTGCCCCTGGCCTAGTTTTGGCTGCTGATACTGAGCTTTTCCAACGAGTCCTTCCACAGATTTAGTCAATCTGATTCCTATGCATATTTGTTCTCATTTCCAAGAAAGATATTCCAACTGAATGTAGAAACTATAAATTAATATCACATGCAAGCAAAATACTGAAGAGGATCATTCAAAAACAGCCAGAACAGTACATAAATAGGGAACTTCCAGAAGTTCAAGCAGGATTTAGAAGAGACCATGCCATCAGGGATATCCTGGTTGATGTCAGATGGATCCTAGCTAAAAGTCAAAATACCAGAAGAATGCCTATTTATGCTTTATTGACTATGCAATAACATCTGACTGTGTGGATCATAACAAGTGATGGTTAACACTGAGAAGAATGGGAATCTCAGAACTTTTAACTGTGTTAATGTGAAAACTATACCCAGACCAAGAGGTTACTGTGTAAATAAAGCAAGAGAACACTACATGGTTTAAAACTAAGAAAGGAATATGTAAAGGTTATATTCTCTCTCTCTCCATACCTATTCAATCTTTATTCTAAGCAAATTACTCAAGAAGCTGAACTTTCTGAAGAAAAATGTGGCATCAAGATCAAAGGAAGACTCAACAATAACCTGCATTATGCAAATTACACAACTTTGCTTGCTGAAGAGTAAGAAAGACTTGAATCAACTGTTACAGAAGATCAAAGAAAACAGCTTTCACTATGGATTGCATTTCCATGTCAAGAAAAATAAAATTCTTACCACTGGATCGACAGGCACTATCATGATAGATGGAGAACAGATTGAAACTGTCAACAACTTCATCTTACTTGGATTCACAATCAATACCCTTTGAACCAGCAGTAAGGAAACCAGGAGACATTGCACTGGGAAAATCTGCAGTCAAAGGACCTCTCCACATTATTGAGGAACAATGGTGTCAGTCTGAGGATTAAGGTGCACCTGATTCAGGCTATGGTTTTTCCAGTCACTTGCTACACATCTGGAAGCTGGACAATTAATAAGGATGACAGAACTATTTACGCCTTTGAGCTGTGAAAAACGTACTGAACATACCACGGACTGTCAAACAACAAACAAATATATCTTATAAAAAGTGCAGCTAGAGTGCACCTTGAAGGCAAAGATGATAAAGCTTTGTTTCATATACTTCGGGCATGTTGCTGGGAGAGGCTATTCCTCGGAGAGGAACATGATGCTCAGAAAGGCAGAGGGTTCGTGAAGAAGAGGAAGACCCTCAACCCAGTGGACTAACCCAGTGGCTGCTGCAATGGACTATAGTGTGTTAGGAAGCATGAGGATGGCACAGGATAGGACAGTGTTCAGATCTGTTGTTCACAGAGTTGCTGTGGGTCATACTCTACAGCACCTAACAAGCTAAGCTCAAGAAACAAAGGTCAGCTTTTTCCTTCATAAACAATTCACACCTAAAGCCAGAAGAACAATATAGGTATCTACATTGGTTGGATTAGGGGAAACTAGAATCCAAGCAGGGAAAGGAAAGTATCAATGCACAAGTGGGAAGGGATGTCAGAACCTAAGTAGAAGTGAAAAGGGCATCCACATAGCAGTAGTCTAATATGAAGGGGCCATGAGCCAGATAATAAGGCACTCATGTGAGAAAGCAGCAATGGCAGCACTGGGAGATGAGTTTACACGCAGGAGGATTAATCAAAGAAGCAGATATTTTAACAATAATAGGAACCAGGCTTCTAACTGCCAGAGAGAAGAGTTAATATTTGAAAAGAGAAAAATTAGAATGAACTCTATAATACTTGATTGTAACTAGAGGTAGCAGTGGGAACTCATTGCTTCCAGTATAGATAACTCACGACACCACTCATAGCAAACATTCCATTGGGCTTCCAATGCTTTAAATCTTAACAGGAGACTCTTGATATAGATGTGAATGTGAATCTAGGTCTCAGGTATATCCGTTGTTATGTGTAGACAAGTCAGAACAAACTCATAGCTGAGCCTCCAGCAGGTTTTCAGAAGCTGTAAATCACACAGGAATGGGCTCATCTTCCTCCCATGGAGCAGCTGATGGATTTTAATTGCCTGCCACTGGACTGGTTGCACTGGTATGTGTCTATGTAGTATGTTTGTGTGTGTTAGGGAGCTCTGGTGGCCTAGTGGTAAGAATTTGCACCAAAATTCCAAAGGCACACATGGTT